TCCTAACTTCAGCCAATTCACGACATACCGCGACCATTTCGCAATGTCTTCTTCGATGAGTTGCTGCCTCATCTTCAACCTTCTGTACCTTACTGGTCACGGCTTCCCACTACAACCCCAGGTCACTGCCTGAATAGCTAGCTGTCCAGTACTCCCCACTGGCTTTCCAATGGTTCTCTAACTAATGTCAGCTCATGATGAAATCCTGTAATTTATGTTCTAATAATGATCTTCAACAACAGTCAGCTAATGAAGATGAATCTGTACCAATCAAATTAAATCCTTGTAATCCCAACACATGAATTATGGATATTACTCAAAGGACATACTGATATATATATATATATATATATATATATATAGGTCAAATTTATTAAAGAATTAAGGATATATTAAAAAAAGGGCAAAAGGTCAAATATCAAATCGATAAAAAGTTCACCACCAATATAAATTACCAGAAAGATAAGAAAACTTCTAATAACAGCCAATTACAGTCAAGTTTATGAGGAGAGAAAGAGAGAGCAAGTGAGTGAGTGAATGAGTGAGAGGGAGGGATGGAGGAGAGCGAGTTACATCATTCTTGGAGAATTCAAATGAATACATCTCATATTAAAGCTTCTACTGAAGGTGCTGTCTAGAGTGAGAGATAGAGACAATGAATGGTTTTCAACTTAAAACCACCACCAATCAGCACTCGTAGAGAATAATAAGACTAACAACAGAGAGACAATTAGTCAGGGTTTAGCAACAACACACAGTTGAGGATCATGGCAACAAACTGTGTGCTTCGATGTCTGTCTGTCTGTCTATCTATCTATGCGTCTATCAATGCCAAGGCAAATGACTAACCTCATAATACATTTAACACATTACAATCAAAAAATCAGCTTCCCCACATAAATCTCAATAAAAAAATCAAAACAAGTGATAATTCAGCGAAGAGACTCTTCTCAACAACGAATTTATCATCAAGCTGTACAATCGTGTATGCATATGGTTTTCTTTTAAGAAGTGAGGGAATTGAATCATAAGTATGAGCGCATAAAATAATAATAATAGTAGTAGTATGAAATGCAATTAAAACCTAAAATGTTTGTCATTATAATATCATAGGTCAATTTACCGAAAGCTGTCATGGAATGGTCAACTGACAAATTTCTACAGTTGAGTACCCATTGATCGAAAAAGAAACCTGGTCCAGTCGCTTGCCACTTACATTCGGCGAATATGTGAGATACTGTGGAGGATGGATGACTTAATTGTTTTGAGGAAAATCCTAATAGAAAATGGATTTCCACCGCGTTTTATAGACAAGAATATACATTCACATCCTATAAAAAACGTGACTTATCACCCGCACCCAAGAAAATACTGTACATGAGCTTGGAATTCAAAGGTGACCTAGCTTTCGATATCATGAAAAGAAGGATATCACAGTCCCTGAAAAGAACATTCCCTGCTGCATCTCTGAGAATAGCCTTTACTAGTAGACCATTACTGTTCAGTAACCTCTTGAAGGACAAGATCTCGCTGTTGACCAACTCTATGTGTGTTTATCAATTCACCTGCTCGTGTGGAGCTAGGTATATCGGTCGTTTGATTGGAGTTTTCTCCAAGAGGGTGCAAGAACACTATCCTGCATGGTTACGAGGAGGTGGAAGTGGATCAATAAGAAGCGCGATCATTGAACATCTGGTTGATAATGATCATCCTATCTCTAAAGCCTCCACCTTTAAAGTCATCTACAAGTCAAAGAGTAATTTACCCAAATCCCTACGTACTCAACTCATCTGTATTGCTGAAGCTTTGGCTATCGAAACAGAAAAGCCAAATCTCTGTGTACAGAAAAGTTCGTTCAGCCCCTCCAACTTTCATGGTCTTAATCCCTAATCATATTTTGGCTCTACCAATTTTTCATTTTGTCTATTCAATTTGTATACTCTGACTTTATTACGTCAATTGTTACTATTAATATTCTCACTTTGAACTGTTCCCGTTATTATTTCACTTGTTCCACTTCTCATTCTAAATCAATTCTTTTTTATAACGTTTAATTCTATGCTAATAAATTTCACGCAATATTACGTAACGTTTTTATTTTATTCCATTTATCTACTAATCTTATAATTGCACACCCCTTTTTTCAAGTTTTATCCATCCTATGATTTATTCTATATATGACATTAATTTGCTTTGCCACTTGACATTTAACTATGATTATAATCACAAATATTTTAGTTTTAATTGCATTTCATACTACTACTATTATTATTATTATTTCATGCATTCACACCTATGATTCAATTCCCTCACCAGATATAACTTCTTAAAAACTATATACATGCATGATTGTACAGCTTGATGATAAATTCGTTGTTGAGAAGAGTCTCTTCGCTGAATCACTTGTTTTGACTTTCTATATGTTACAATGGGAATTTTCCATGACTTAATCCCAATAAGACAAGACTGCTTTTAGGAGTGTGTGGGCAGTTGTTACATCCCGGTTTCCCCCACCCCTCACACACACACACCATGGAGGTTGATTTTTTCTTGGGGTACCTGAAGCAGGAAGAGAACTAGTGTTGCGTAACAGCAGAGCCCAGGGGGCAACTAGTTGTGGCTGGTCACAAATCCACAGCCTGTCTGAACTGGCTTTTTGGTTTGGTTCCGAATTAGTAAATCTATCGCCGGTCACGGACCATCGTAGGTGGGGTAAGTCGGGGTGTACAATTTTTGGAGTCGACCTTTTCTAACCCCCTCTCTCCACAGTGGAGAGACAGCATCAGAGGGAAACACCTTACTGCTGTTACACTCCTGTCCATCAGCAGTGCTACTTTGCTCACAGACCCACAGTATAGTGTCGAAAAATCTTACACGATGCCGGTAACTGCTTTTAGTCTAATCGCTATATTAACTATGTTCCTGGCATGGTAGGACCTGCAGAAACATTGGTTCCAGCCAATGTAACTTGTTGCGTCATTGTAATATGCAAACCCAGCGACTACCACGTCAAGTTAGCAACTACCAGTCGGGCAAAGTTATTTTTATTGATAATTATGATAATAATAATAATATTAATGACGACATGCAGGTCAAATATGCGCAAGACAACACCAACAATAAGGAATCTAAATCATCAGTAGTAATTCCATACAAGGAAAGAACCTCGGAAACCTTACGCAGAATTCTTAACAAGGCAGGCAGGAATAAAAGTGGCTGGCTATTCAAACCACCCACAAACTCAATTAGAAACAAGCTTTGTCGGTTAAAGGATCCTGACAGTAGAGCCTTTAAAACAAAACAATTTAGTTTATCTAATACCCTTCCTGCAATGATTGTCAGGTCAAATACATAGGTCAAACTAGTAGAACAGGGGCAGTTAGACTAGCCGAACATAAAAACCCACAAAATCTAGATTGGTTGACCCGAATAAGATAAGAAATCTAGAGAATAGTTCAGCTATACCACTCACTGCATGCAACTACACACAACCATACAATAAGATGGGATAAGACGACAGTTTTAAAATCTAATATAACAGCAGGGTGGAGGGAGAGATCGATAACAGAAGCTTTGTTTATCGAATCAACTGCAAATACATGTAATAGGAATGATTCAACACCTGTCCCCCTCGGATATCTGGAAAATTCTACTACCCCAACGACGACAAATAGGAGAGGACAAAGAAAACTATAAAACTCAAGTTCCAAAGTCGTGTGATTACAATTGATATGATTATGAACAATAATAAATTTTGTTCGAAACGTCATCCAGTAAATAATAATACTGTTTCACTGTGTGATACATTTAATAAACAAACTAATTTGGAATTACTTACTACCACAGTGCCCAAATTTTACACATATATTAGGTCGGGCATGGTTGCATGTTATGATCGTCGATGGTATTCCTGATTGTGCTAGACTGTATAATGCAACAGACGATGCGTGTAGAGCAAGAAGACGGACCCACAAAAAGACTCTAAGCTTCATGGGTGATTAATGTCACACACACACAAACACACAATCGAAGATCCACAAATAAAACCAACAAGTTGGCAAAAGAGACAGAGGTGGTGAAGATGCCTAACCAACAACAACAATAGCAGCCAATCACCATCAACGGGAGAAATTTTACGGAAGTGACCACCTCTTACACTAATCTAAGCAGCATTGGTTCAACTACAGGCGGTATGGATGAAGAAGTCAAAGCTAACGATGATCGGATAAGCAAGACATACCGTCATAAATTTAATTGAATATCAGATTTTCCCGTCAATTGACTGGACCGAAGTGCTCGATCTCAGGTTGACATGTCGGTTTCTTGAGCAGATGCTTCGACGATGTCTGGGCATTTAATTAGTATTTAATTGGTGGATAGCAGTGGAATCCAGGATGCACATTTCGTCCTATTTGGGACTCGAGCCTCGGTGGGAACATCACCAAACACCGAGAAATGCAGGTACATCCAGATGACGAGTCCCTAATAGGACGAAATGAGCATCCTGGATTCCATTGCTAGTCACCATCTACCAATTAAATACCGTCATTAATTTTGAAATCAGTGTGGAAATTCTCGGCACTCGGAACAAAGTACAAAATTCTTATAAATGGTTCAGCGATTTGGCACACACGTCACCAAAAGCATTTCGAACAAGCCACTGTAGAATCTCATCAACAGCTGTTCACTTCGTTGGCTCCGTAATGAAGAACAGATGGTCAGCCAGAAAGGATTAGCAACCAGGAATATTGCCAACGACCCAATCTACAACCTATCGCCCAACAAATATTCACAAGGAAATGGGGATGGACTGGATATGCGCACTAGGGAGACCCGTGAGAAGCTTGTGTTGGCAGTCATATGGCCAGTTAAAAAAGACTCCACAGAACAGAGTAAAAAAATAAAGATGTGCTTCTGAAGTCTTATGTTCCACTCGGAACTCAAGAGAGTGACAATAATAATAATGAATAAATAAATAATATGCATTAAAAGAAATTTACTTCGAACTGGTTGGATTTTCCGATTAATTGAAACTGATGGATCACGATAAAGTGAATGGGGTGGAAAATTTTCAATATCGTCTTTTGTAGGCATATTCCGGTGTTTATTGTTATTCTGAGAAGTGAATATGCTGTGCTTTGACGGCGACAAAGAGGTATTGTTCAACTTCGCGTTTTTATCGATTTGACCAGATTCCTGCAAACAACATACATATCATACAACAATAGAAAAGATTAAAACAAAATAACAGCGGCAGTAATAGTAGTAGACAGGAAATTTAAATTTTGATTTGATTATAGCTTGAAACTATACAGTGTTTTTGATACAAGTATGGAATTTTCAGCATGTGATATCGGTAGCCCAAATTTTGCAAACCGACAATTGATATTGGGTGTACGTCAGAAGGGGATCGATCCCCGGACCATGTGCATGGTCGGCGAGTGTCCTAACCACTGTGCCTCCGGCGCACAAACAATTTAGAGCAATTAGTCTTTTTAGTAAATTTAGACATAGCAATCGGAAGACGGTGTGTGCGTCGATGGTTCAGTGGTAAAATACTTGTCAACTACACATGTGGTCCGGCACTCGATTCCTGGCCACCAATGCACTCCTTTATTAATTTAAAACACAAAACATGGCGACAAAAAGATGCGCCACACAATAATAATAAAACAACATGGATTAAAAGTAAAAATATAGGTGGAGAAGGGATAAAAAACTTTATCTGGAAGGAAAACAGTCATATTTAACAAGTTCAAACAGTAAAAAGGAAATTGCAGAACGTTCGCCATTGATGACTGCGATTCTCCGCCATATCCGATCCGATAACGTTTCGAGCCACCGATTCAAGCTATCTATATCGGACTCTAACCAGGCAGTTAGGAAGCACCAACTGATGCCAACCTACCACAATTATCCTTCATCCCACAATGTCACGTCATGAACTGACCACCTCTCTGCTTTTTCAATCCCGTCCCAGGGCTAGCAGACAGAGACCTGTACAGAAGCCTCCTCTGGGATAACATTCGAAGCACAATCGATGAAATGAAACTTCGCAGAAACAGAAAAAGAAGATAACATTAATACCATTTACAAAATAAATTGCGTGTATGAACTGTAACAGACATTGTCTGTCTGGATTCAACATAGAACTTGGCACCGAAGTGCAGCAGTTCGAGTTGCCACGTTCCAAATAGCACACAAAGATAGACAAGAAGATGAGTGAAGAGAATCAATACAGTTTTGACAAGTATAAGAGTGAAACAGAATGAGTAATGGTAGAAAGGAATTCGAAAGATTACAGAGACTGAATACATCTGCGTAAGCCATTGACAAGGATTTTGAGTCATGTCACCTATTGTCTCCAGCCATTGATTCTTAGAGTCCCGAGAGCCCCAACCCGGAAGTTTGCATCTCCCTACCTGACTGACATTTGATCTTCAGTATGGAACCAGCCAGCGAAGGAGGCAGCTGTTGATAAAAGTCTGCAGTGGTCTGTTAGAAGGGCTTTTTGCGTGGCGCTTGCTAAGTTTCTGACGCATATAGAAGAGCTGATTGACTGACTGACTTCACATTGGTGTTGAAACTCCGAAGGTATCTTGTTGTTTATGCCACAGAGTGCAGAAGATTTCCAAACTGATTTCACAGTGATGATGATGGTTTGTCTTGCCTTTTGCGATACACTGGCTACTTTTGATGTCGTCATCCGTTCCCTCTGACTGTAGTTGAAATGATACTTCAAGTTCATTCCTCAGACATCGCCGAAGCATCCGCACATGGAGGCGACATGTCAACCTAAGGCCGAACACTTCGGTTCAATCCACCAATGGGAAAATTTAAATTATATTAAAGGCCTATTCTTTTCTATAACTTCTCTCTCTTCGTCAGGTTCTACAGTGATATACATCTATAATTCAAAAATTATTAATAACAGGGAATCCTACTTACGAATTACCAAAAACACTTAGCTCTAATATTATGCCCCCATTAGAAATCGCTCAAACTCTAGGCCAGCTGACTAATTCATATGAGATGAAAAATAAACTAAATGACATACAACTAGATAATGATGAAACAATGGTTAGTTTTGATATAACTAGTTTCTACACTAATATACCAATCAATATGGCCTTAGAAGCAGTTAAAAAAGAATTAACTGCAGACCCTGAACTCACTTATAAGACGAGACTGCCCATTGATGAAATTATTTATGCTGCCTTACATCTACTATGTTTAAATTTCAAGGCAAAATATATAGACAAACTGAAGGTGTAGCAATGGGATCACCAATATCCCCTATCGTAGCAGATATATTTATGGATAGGTGGGAAAATAGTGCTCTCAATACATTTAATCCTACTCCAAAAATATGATGGAGATATGTGGATGACATTTTCACACACAGTGTTAAAAACAGAACATATCTCTAGCTTCCTGACACACATAAACTCACTAGTGGAGGGAATAAAATTCACATTTGAAGCCGAAAATGAGCAAGGAGAATTAGCCATGATGTTAGATTTCTTCATGAAAGAAAGAGGTTAGTAACAAATGTGATGAGTCATCACAATCATAATTGTCAATATTAGTTAATGCATAAGAGTAGCATGAAAAAGCGTACTAGGGTTACGTAACAGGATGAATCATTCTAACCGATGAGTTGTAATCAGGATGTGAATAAGAACAAAGGAAAACATGAAATTACATAAGAGTCCTATAGATATAAAAGAATTATAAAGAGTTGAAGAACAAACAAGCAAACAAACGAACAAAAATTAAGTTATTAGAGGTCAACAAGGTTGTTACATAATAATAGAAGTGGTTGAGTAATTAATAGACAGAAGACAAGTAGTTCAGCCAAGAGTCTCTTTTCGCCAGCGAATTCATTTTCATAGCTGTACAATCGCAAATACAGATATATGGTTGTTTTGTATGTGTGTGTGTACATTAAATTTGACACACGAAAAAACAATTAGTAAGTTCAGATGAATTGGATGTTGATATAAGAGGGCAGTGTAACAAAAGTGATGAGTCATCATAAACGATTGTTAAAGAAGTCACGTAATAACATGAGTAGTTTGATGAAAGAGTTGTGCTCAGGGTGCACATGGAAACAAAATAACATACGGAATTACAGAAGGGTTTTAAGTAGAAAAATAAGCATACAAACAAAAGTTAAGTCAAATCAACGGAGTTGTTATCATGATAGTAGAAGTGGTTGAATAATTTTCTCATGTATGGATAGTTCTGGTTCTTCCAAATGAATGGCTACGGCTTCTGCATAGTATTTGGCAGGTTGTTCTTCACTTTGTAGATTACTTTGAAGGAGGCGTTTGTTGTTGAGATGGAATGATCAGTGGTGACGAGATGTTCGATTATTGCACTCCAAATACGGCCACTACTTCCTTTCTACAGCCACGCTGGATAGTGTTCTTTGACAGGATGCGCGTCGAACGACCGATGTACCTGGCTGGCTCCACAGCAACAGGTGAACTGATATATACACATAGAAGTGGTCAGGTGCGGAATTTTGTCCTTTGGGCTTCTGTAGATCAGCAGGCAACTGGAGAACACTACTCTCAATGCTGCCGCGAAGAAAGATTTTCTTAAAGAAGTAGAAATTCTCCTCTTAAGGACATCACTGAGTAGGTCACCTTTGAAGTCGAGGTTCATATAAAGTATCTTTTTTGACACGGATGGCGTCTCTTGCTTTTGGATTTTCTGTTTGATGTTTTTGTCTGTGAATCTTGATGGATCGTCAGGCTTACATATCGCAGTGACCTAACAAGCTACACTGGCTGGAACCAATGTTCCTGCAGGTCCTACCAGGTCAGGAAGGTTGTTAGGATAGCGATTAGACTAAAAGCAGTTACCGGCTTAGTATAAGAATTTTTCTTACACTATGCTTGGGATGTGTGAGCAAAGTTGTACTGTTGGGGAACAGGGATTTAACAGCAGTAAAATGTTTTCCTAACTCAGATGACCAGCATGCCAGCCAGCTATGCTATCTCTCCAAAAATTGTACATCCCAACTTAACCTACGGTGGTCCGTAACCGGCGGTAAGTTTACTAATACGGAACCAAACCAAGAAACCAGTTCATACAGGCCGTGTGTAACCGGCCTCAAGCAGTTGTCCCTTGGGCTTTGCGGTCAAGCAACACTAACCTTCTTTCTGTTTCAGGTACCACGAGAATCAAGCAACTCCCACGATGTGGGCAGCCGGTCCACACACTTTCAAAAGCACACGAAGCCTTCTTGAGCACCATTCTCGTCTACTCACATCACCTTCAATCCACTATAGAATAAATTCATTAGATAAAAGCACACAGTGATACAATATTATTTCATAATGACGTTTCAAGCACGATTTATTTTTCCAAATAATACCAAGGTGCTCATTCACATTCATATAAGGAAAGACATCTGAAGCCCTACATAGGATTCTTAAAGAAACAGGAATTTAGATGCCATCTAAAGCTACTAACTCTATAGGCTAAAGGGTCCCACTGATCTAATTAGACGATAAAAATCTAGATCTGCAAAATACTCCGCGATGACTATGAGTTCAGCTACACATAGTTCAGATGAATAGATCAGGGATAGTCAGATTGTCGAAACATGAATTCAGCTAAGTGTAGAATGACTGACCCCTATGATGACGAATAGCTTAGAGAAGAACTCAGTAATGGTAACGCATGCATTAACATACAATTAATTGCATAACAGGGAGGAGAAGAGCTACAGTTCTGAAAAGGAATACAGGTAGGTGGAGAGAAAAAAGTTGGTCAATACATATTTCATGTATAATCCCCATCCAGGCATTAATGAAAACAAAACACGTAGATCAGCGAAGAGTCTATTTTCGGCGAATTCATTCACCAGTTTTAACACTTTAACACTGATCATACCATTTCAACAAATGCCTCCTCCTTCAAAGTAATCATTACAGAGTCAAGAATAACCTACCAAAGGCAATACGGTTTCGTCTTCTTTGTATCGCTGATGCTATGGCCATTCATATTAGAAAAACCGGAGCTGTGCATACAAAAGAGGATTACTCAACCACTTCTACTGTCACGGTAACAACTTTGTTGATTTTTGATGACTTAATTTTGTTTATTTGCCTGTTTCGTTAATTGCTTATAATTCTGAGTAAAACTCACTCATCAAACTATTCCTATTATTACATAACTTCTTTTAACAACTGTTTGTGACAACTCATTACCTTTGTTACTACCCTAATTTCATTAACACCTAATTTTCTTGACTAATTTTGTATTACGTAACTCCAATTACTAATCTTCACCTGTTTAGTTAAAATAAGCATAACCAATTGTCTATTTTTGTTTGACAAACTTCATGTACACATACATACAAAATAACACATATATATTTGCGATTGTACAGCTAAGTGTGAATGAATTCGCAGCCGAAAAGAGACTCTTCGCTGATCTACGTGTTTTGTTTTCATCAATACATATTTCTCCACTGAATGTACACCCAACACATCTCAATCCACTGCCTTCATACGGCGGAGGTGGTCTTCAAAATATTGAAAAAAAGACAAATGAGAACATCTGGCGCTTATAACCGGACAGGTGAGCATCCGCGTCTATGTACGGGAGCTAGAAAACTTTGAATCCAAACCCATGGTGTGCATTGGCTCTAGAATCCGATCAAACCGAATGGCATATGAACCTGTTTTGATCAGTCTGTTTCCTCTTACCCCCTCCCACCAATCTCTCTCCTTATCCCACTGTGTTCCTAGGGGAACATAGGGCTTCACTACTTCTTACCATCCTGAGGACCCCAACCAGTCACTCAGTTTTAACCTCCCTATGTGGCTGGCTGGCTGGCTTAGACTAACTGTTGTGGATCTCATTGACTGATGAAGCCATGTTTTGGTTTGACCACCACTAGTCAGTTAGCTAACATTGCTCGGCGAGGAAGGTGATGGCTAGGGATGCATGCTTAGCACATGTCCTAACCATCTCAATCGATGCAGCTGCTTCACAGCTTGGTCGATTGATTTTCCCTCCTTACTTAGCACTCAACCGATGCCTAACCTCAATATTACTCACCCTATTTACGCGTACTACTTAACATAGGAGATAGAAGGCAGACACCTATGATCAAAGAAAGTTAGCCGGTCTTTTCATGTCTTCCACTTCCAATGGCCATGTGTCAAAACCAGCTGTAAAAGAGGACGGAGCGAACCGCTGAGCAGTACACACGTCCTTTCATCGATAGCCAACCGGATATCACGTCTACTAAGCCAGAGATTGTGTAATTTGGCAGGCGAATGCTAAACGAGCCTTCTGTGTATCCATGCTGAGACTTCGTCAGAAATCAAACTACTGGGGGCTGATGTAACTTTCCAAATAATTGAACTGGTCAACATGCTCTACCAGGAATTGAACCCAGGCCACATGCGTAGTCGACAACCCGTTATCCACAACTGAACCACGCACACACACGCTATTTTTTTTCCTTCACGTTCCCCAGTGGAACATAGGGCCTCAAACTAGTGGCATGAAGTTCTGTTGCAGTGTTTATTTTTACAGGAGGGGGTTGCTAGCCTCATGCCAACCTTTACTCTTCACCAGCATTATTTCTGGCTTAGCGAGGTGTGCGTCGGCCGGGAATCGAACCCCGGGCAATGTGCATGGTCGGCGAGCGTCCTAACCGCTATGCCACCGACGCATCCACTATTGATTTCTTATCAATCAATGCCTTCAATCTGTTAGTGTAGTACATTTTGACGAGATCATACTTTAAATATACATATAACACACACAAAACAAAGTGATAAAATACACTCACTTCAGTAAGTAGATCAGAATTGCTTGATTCATCAATATAAGCAGCATGTATTGAATTATTATTATTGTTATTATTCGATCGAACATGCAATGGTACACTTGGCACAGATGATTGAATCATAGGCCCACCAGCACCGCTAACGCCACCACCACCACAATGTAATGGAGTACTTGTAGGAGCTGGGCCTGAAATTTTATCACTTTGAAATTGACGACAAGATAGGGTGTAATGTCGTCGAGATGGTGGCAGTGGATTATTCGACGGCAGTCCATTACTACGACGTTGTAGTCGAATGAAAACATCTTCTTCTTCTAAAACTGACTCCATAATCATATAAGTAGCCATTATATAATCATATGGACGCTATTTTGAAATGATAAAAGAAAACAAAAAAAGGAAAAATTAGAGAGAAAAAGAGAGTGAGTGAATCAAAGGTTTTACGAGTTAAAAAAAGGTGCCTCTTTACAATTTAATTTTGTATTTCCCGTTGGACAGAAACGTCCGGTTTCTGTTGACATATTATTATTATTTCCTTTAATTCCTAGAGGAACAGAGGGCTTCAGCCGTGCGTCTCCATTGCGTTCGGATCTCTGCTTGAGTTTTCACCTGGCTCCAAGTCTGCCCACATGCTTTCATCTCCTCTTCACATGACCTCCTCCAAGTCACCCTTGCACTGACGACCAACTCGCCGCTTACCTTTCGGGTTCCACTCGAGCAATGGCTTGTCTAGTGATGTCACTTGATGGTTTCCTCAGAGTATGGCCAGCCAATCCATCTCCATTTCTTCCTGCCTATTTGTTTCACAATTGGTTCCTGGTTGGTTCGCTCCCAGAGATCCCTCTCTGTGGCTGATCTTTTCTGGCCATCTGATCTTGAGTAGTACTGAGCGAAGACAGCTGTTGATGAAGGTCTGTAGTTTGTTTGAGATGCTCTTTATGACGCGCAGTGCAAGTCTCTGATCCGTATAGTGAGTGGCACTGACTTTACATTGGAGTTGAAAATCCGGATCTTATTTTTGACGCTGCATGCTGTTGACCCCCACACAGATTTGAGAGACATATTGGCTCACTGTTAGTACGAATGCTTCGGGAATGTCTGAGGACTAATTATTATCCACTCGAGTTTCGAGTGGAACACAGAGGGCATCACAGGAGTACATCTGTATTTCATCCTATTCTCTGCAGTCCCCGCCCCTCTGATTGGCACCACGATTGATCATAAGCTTTCATGTCGTCCTCACACGATTTCCTCCATATCATCCACGGTCGCCACCCATTAGGGTTCCACTGGAGAGCCTGGTGTGCAATGTCACTCAAAGAATTTTTTCAGCGTGTGTCTAACTCATCTCCACATCCTCAAGAAGAATTAACGCGTTGTTATTCACAGTGGATAGTGACTAACAGCATGGAATTCAGGAAATACAAAATTAAATTAAACAAATTGATACTAGTTCCAAAAGAGATAGCACTCGCGACCCTAGTGGATAACGTCTCGGTATTTGAGAAGATGAGTGATAGGTTCAAGTTTCAGTGAGAACATCATCCATCACTCAGTGGAGATTGCAGATTTACATCCGACTGATGATAAGTCCCGGAAAGGACGAACTGCGCATCTTGGTTTCCATTGATAGGTACTATTTTGGTAGATTTCTTTCTAAGGTCAACTAGAAAATGGACTTCTGAACAACCGCATTAGAAAATTCCCACTTTATTGCTGATATATGAATGATACCTTTATTCTCTGTGATAATGATTCGGATAGGAACACAATAATAAGTCAATTCAACGAAGTACACTCGGGGATGAAATTCACGTGCGAAGAGGAATCCCAAGACAGAATTGCCTCGCTGGATGTCCTACTTACAAGAAAACCAGATGGTAGCATAAAGAGAAATTTGCATAGGAAAAGTATTGGACAGGACAATATACACATTTTCACAGCTTCGTTCCTCTCCAGTACAAAAGAAGTTTAGTAAAGATCCTCAGCCACAGAGTTAGAGCTATATGCTCAGAAGAAGTAATTGAAGATGAATTAAGCATTGTATATGATACCTTGATTGAAAATAGCTATCCCGATAAATTTATCAAGAAACACATGACCAAGAAAGCGAGAAAGGACTATTCTCCATCTGTAAATAAGAAGCCTTTACACACACGACTGCAATTCAAGGATGATGCACCTAGTGAAATAATTACTAACAAGTTAAGAAAATCTGTTCAGAGAACTTTTAATGCTGGTCAACTACAAGTCATGATTTCTACACGATCAATAGTGATTCCTCGATTGAAAGATGAAGTACCTAGGCTAGACTAGCCACTTCTAATTCTACGTTTCCTTGCAAATCGAATGACCAGTGTTGAGTATATGCTCAATAATGGCGCTCCTTATTTTTCTAGCCAGCAGGATAGTGTTCTTGAACTCTTTAGATAAAACTCGCATCGAACGACCTATATACCTCGCTCCGCACATAATTAATAAAATAATTGTGTCTACCAATTCAACTGTGCTTTTGTTGGAGCGAGTTATATTGGCCATTGCTCTAGGAAATTGATTTTCCATGCTCGGAAACATCTACCAGTATGGTTAAATAAAGGTGTGGTGAAAAAGCACCAATAGCTCCATATTAGAACACCTGTTCCAAACTGGCCACAAAGCCAGCCAGCAAGCATTGAAGAATCTTTCTCTATTGCCAAAAAAAAACATTCAGGTATATCGCATACTCGAAACAGCAAAGGCTGTCGCGGCGATTCGCCTGGAACAACCGATGCTCTGTGCGCAGAAGAAGCAAGTCCAACCAGCCACTGGACTATTACTGCCCCGGCCTTCAGTAGAGAGACTATAAATTCATGAGTTTGTATTATTATTATTTTTCCTAATTGTTCTGATATTCATTCAGTGTATTGTTATGTTGATCTTTTCGAAATGTAATCCATTGATATCATCAATATTGATTCGATTTTACATAAATATAACTATTTGTCTTCTCAATTGTAACATTTTACATTTTCAACTTTCTTGTTCTCTACCCCCACCCGATTCAATCTCTACACCCCACTACCACTGTTACTGACTTGAACAAGCTCATCTAGTCATTCATGTTACGTCATCCACTATTCACTCAATTTCACTTCTACTTAATCTCTACCTGTAATTACCTCTGTTGCTATCCTGACCTAAGTTGTAACATTTTAGCCAATTATATTACGTCATCTAGTTTTTTAACTCAGTCTTACTTTAGTTGCTGTCTGATTAACTTTGTCTCTATACTGCATCATTCTTGTATTAACTAATCAATTATCTAAACTTGACAAACCTCATGTACACACACACACACAAATAATTATATATAAATGCGATTGTACAGCTATGTGAATGAATTCGCCGAAAAGTCTCTTCGCTGAATGTCTTCTCTTTTTCATATATATAACTGTAGAACCTGATGAAGAGCAGGATTTCGAAAAGAATATACATACAAAGATTGATCACAGCTCAGTTGTTCAATCGCCAAACTCAAAGTGAAAAATATCAACTAAGTAGTTTTTTCGCCATCTGTTTGTTCAACGGTAATTGCCTTTCTTTTCATTCATTTGCGCGTCCCGAGTGGAACATAGGGTGGCTTGAAGCTAGCGGCTTAAAGTTTTGGTATCAGTGGTGTTTTTATTTTTACGGGATTGAGTTGCTAGCCATCCTCAAGCCCAACCTTCCCCCTATACCAGTCTTATTACTGGTTTAGCGAGGTAAAGGAGTGCGTCGGTGGCCGGGGGATCGAACCTCAAACCACATAAGGCGTGGTTGGCGAGCATTCTATTGCTGTGCCCCACTGATGCACTTCACTAGCGGTGATGTTTTTGTTTCTAGTTAGTGGGATTACTAATCTCTCTTTTGCAAGGGAGGTTTAGGGACGTATCGGCTGGGATTCAAACGATATTAACACGACTACCAATACAAATTTTGACAATGGTTCTCTTTTATGCATGATAACTGTGAGAATAGAAGTGCAATAGTCACACATACACACACACACACACTACAAACAGTAATGTTACAGTGAAATCTGAAGTCATCAGTTACAGAGTGATATAACAGTACAATTTGAATTCTAAATCGGAACCCTATACATACTTTTCCTAACTGCTAATAATCGCAGAAAGCAAGTATTTACATTATCGAATGTGTAATGTATTGCCCCTTAGGCATTCGACTTTCAGAGAGTAGGTTCCATGTTTAACTGCCATTTCAACTAATTCAACCTACATATATATATATATATATATATATATATATATATATATATATATATAGGCTATTTATTCAAACTGCCAAAGAAAGGAGACTAAAGTCAGTGCAAGAACTGGCGCAGAGTTATGCTCCTGTCTATCCCAAGCAAACATACTAGGTCGCATCATCCTGGAGAGAATCAAATATGCCACCTTGGATAAAAAACTTCGACTGGAACAGGCTGGATTTAGGAGAAACAAAACATGAATCGACCAAATCGCAACAGTACGGATCATCATTGAACAGAGCTTGGAATGGCAGTCACCTTTCTAGCTCACTTAACTTCATCGACTTTGAAAAGGCCTTCAGCAGACAGCGTCGATCGAGAGGTGATTTAGCAACTACTTAGCTACTACGGAGTGCCGACAACAACTATACACCTTATCCAACAGTTGTACGACAATGCTGCATGCCAAGTAATCCACAACGGGAAACTCACGGGATCCTTCGAAGTGGAGACGGGAGTACGGCAAGGCCAGCTGCCTACTATCTCAATGATTTTTATGATTGCGGTAGACTGGATAATGCGACAGACAGCGGCGGGCAGCGAGGAAACAAGCATAAAGTGGACCCCCACAAAACAAACTTGGAGGATCTGGACCTCGTCGATGATATGCGTCTGATTTCCCACAAACTGGAAGATATGCAAGTGAAAAGCAACTGGTTGGCAGAAGAAGCATCCAGAGAAGATAGGACTTCAGGTGAACATAGAGAAAACAGAGGTGATGAAGATTCTTGGCCAACAGCAACAACAGACAACAATCAGCACAAATGGGAGAAATCTGAAAGAGGCAACCTCCTTAGAAAGAAAGAGTGAATGCATCTGCTAGACATTGACAACAAAGATTTTGAGCCACATCACCAATTGTCTCTAGCTGTCACTGCTTCTTGCCATCCTGAGGAACAGAAGCATACAGCAGTCTACACCTACTAACGTGGCTGGCTGGCTTAAACTAACTGTTGTGGATTTCATTGACTGATGAAGCCATGTTTTCGTCTGATCAACGCTCTCTTTCCCAACCTGATCCATCCTATGTCAGTCAGCGAACATTACCCGTCGAGGAAGGCGATAGTTCGGCTAGGCTAGTCATGCGTAACACATGTTCTAACGATCTCAATCGATTTAACTTTACAAATTTAGATGTATTCATAATGCTTAATAATCAATCACGCTGAATATGCATACACAACAACAAGAACAACAACATAAAATTACCTTTTGTAACATTCTAGCCAGCTCCACTTTAGGAATCCGAGTATAGGCAGTTATTTCAGCAACAATCTGCATGTTCAGTGGCGACATCTATCATATTATAAAAATTTAAAAAAGAAAAGATGAACAGTTTAATAATAATTTAGAATGCGATTATATTCACACAACACAACGCGCAGATACAATAAAAATGTGAACAAGAAAAATTGACTTAAATAGGTCAATTTAATGCGCTACATCCAGCTAAGACAAATTCACATGTAAAGAAAAATCTCGCAAGGGAAAACTGCCTTCTTAGATAAAAATTTTTTTTTTTAAATTTTTTTTTTCTTTTTGAAAAAATTGTCCAATTCTATGTTGAATCCAGCAGCAGCAGCAGCCTTCTTAGATGTCCACTTCTTACAAGAAGACGAAATGGGAGAAGAAAAACTAGTGAAGTCAATAACCAACAAACTAAAAACAAAATGGATTCACAGAAAGTTTCAATGCCAGTTCACTGCAGTTCATATTTTCTTACATGTCGAATTATGATCCCTCAAGTACTTCGGGGTAGCCGTCTCATCTTGTGTCTTTCATTTCACCTGCTCCTGTGGAGCCAGTTATACGTTGACCATGTTGCTCTTATTTTATTTTACTACTATTTATTCCTTTACGTTTCCAGTGGAACACAGGGCGGCTTCAAACTAGAGGCTTGAAGTTTCGGTAGCAGTGATGTTCTTATTTTTACGGGATGGAGTTGCTAGCCTCATACCCAGCCTTCCCTCCTCACCAGCTTTATTACTGGCTTAGCAAGGTAAAGGAGTGCGTCGGTGGCCGGGGATCGAACCCCGAACCACATGAGGCGTGTTCGGCGAGCATTCTATCGCTGTACCACCGACGCACTAGGAACTTAATTTTATTGTGCGCTCGGGAACATCTACCAGTGTATGGTTGAATAAAGGTGTAGTTGAAAAAAAGCCATTAATAGTTCGATATTAGATCATCTGGTCCTCCAAAGAACATTGAAGAATCTTTATCTACTAATCTATCTACCGACTGCCGAATACATTTTCCAAAGACCTGTCTCCAGATACAGAATACTCCATGTATAGGAAAGGAATTTGGAATTCACTTCAAACAACTGGAACTCCATTATGGATAAGATTTTGTTTTGATAAAGTCTCACAGTGTTGTTATACAGTAATGTTTACTGATGACCAACTTTCGAGCACAATTTATTACTGCTCATAATCATATCACGGTAATCACACGACTTCCTAAATTCATTTATATAGTTCCATTGTTTTTCACTTGATTTGATTGGTAGTAATATTTTCCATATTTCGGGTATGAGTGATGAATCATTCCTATCGCATGTGTTGGGTGTAGATTCGATGAACAAGGATTCAGTAATCAACCTCTCTCTATCTCTACCTACCTAGATTACTTTTTAGAATTTTAACCCTCTCCCACCCACCTATTGTGTGGTTGTGTGCTAATGCATGCATTGCAATTGCTGAGCTTTTTTCTAAATTACTCATCTTCTCGGGGTCAACCATTCTTACCTTAGCTAAATTCTTATGTTCTGACAATCTGACTACCCCTGACCTACTAGTTTGACCTATGTAGTTGACCTCACAGTCATTGCAGGGTATTTTGTAAATTATATTATTTTGTTTAATTGGGTCAACCGATAGGGTCCTTTAACCTACAGAGCTTGTCCCACCTGAGTGAGTTTGTAGGTTTAAATGCCACCCTAATTCCTGCTTTATTTAGAATCCTACGTAGGGTCTCAGATGTCCCCTCCTTATATGGTATAACTGTAAATGACTTATATTCTCTCTTATTTATGTTACTATTACTAGTTTCACAATTTTTTATTTTTATTTTGGCCTTTTTCAATCTTCCTAATGAATTTTAAAGGATAGTTATTTAACACCAACATTTCGTCTATCTGTTTCATTTCATCATTTAGGTCTTTTTTTGGGCTACTTAGTGCTATTGCTCGGTTTGTTAAACACTTAACTAAGCCTGCCTTAGCAGTTAACGGATGAGACGAATTAAAGTCTAAATATCTATTAGAATGCGTTGGTTTTTTTATAAACACTAGTGTGCAGTTTACTTTCTTCTGTTCGTTTTATTTTACAATCTAACATCATGGCTAATTCTCCTTGTTCATTTTCGGCTTCAAATGTGAATTTTATTCCCTCTACCAGTGAGTCTATATGTGTCAAGAAGTTAGAGAGAGATATGTTCTGTTTTTAACACTGCGAAAGTGTCATCCACATATCTCCACCATATTTTTGGAGTAGGATTAAACGTATTAAGAGCCATATTTTCCCAGCTATCCATAAATATATCTGCTACGATAAGGGATATTGGTGATCCCATCGCTACACCTTCAGTTTGTCTATATATTTTGCCTTGGAATTAAAATATAGTAGATGTGAGGCATAACTGAATTCCTAAAATAATTTCATCAATGGGTAGTTTCGTCCTGTAAGTGATTTCAGGGTCTGCAGTTAATTCTTTTTTAACTGCTTCTAAGGCCATATTGATTGGTATGTTAGCATAAAGACTGGTTATATCAAAACTAACCATTGTTTCATCATTATCTAGTTGTATGTCATTTAGTTTATTTTTCATCTCAAATGAATTAGTCAGCTCGCCTAGAGTTTGAATGATTTCTAATGGGGCATAATATTAAAGGTGAGTATTTTGATAATTCATAAGTAGGATTCCCTGTTATTAATAATTTTTGAATTATAGATGTATATCACTGTAGAACCTGACGAAGAGAGAGAAGTTATAGAAAAGAATAGGCCTTTAATATAATTTAAATTTTCCCATTGGTGGATTGAACCGAAGTGTTCGGCCTTAGGTTGACATGTCGCCTCCATGTGCGGATGCTTCGGCGATGTCTGAGGAATGAACTTGAAGTATCATTTCAACTACAGTCAGAGGGAACGGATGAGGATGTCAAAAGTAGCCAGTATCGGAAACGCGACACAGGCCTTCATCATCACTATGAAATCAGTTCGGTAATCTTCTACACTCCGTAGCATAAACAACAAGATTCATCCGGAGTTTCAACACCAATGTGAAGTCAGTCAGTCAATGAGCTCTTCTCTATGCGTCAGAAACTTAGCAAGCGCCACGCAAAAAGCCCTTCTAACAGACCACTGCAGACTATTATCAACAGCTGCCTCCTTCGCTGGCTGGCTCCATACTGAAGATCAAATGTCCAGCAGCCAGAAAGAATTATCAACAAGAAATTCTCGGAACGAACCAACCAACAGCCTATAATAGATGAATATCACTGTAGAACCGGATGAAGAAGAAGTTATCGAAATAAATATTCCTTTGATTCAATTTGGGATTTTCCCGTTGACTGATTGGCCTGAAGTGTTTGTTCTCAGGTTGACATGTCGGTTCCATATGAGGATGCATTAAAGGATGTATGAAGAAATTTACTGGATGGCAACTAGCAGTCTGTCTATTCTCGACATAGAACTTTGCACCAAAGTGCAGCAGTTTGAGTCACCACACTCCACTCCATGTAGCACACAAAGGAAGAGAAAGTAGAAGAAATGCATAATAGAGACAGTAGACAGGGATATGAGACAAAGGAATAGTAACAACGAAGAACAAAACAGTTTAATTGGATTAGATTACAAACTCACTCAGGGACAAGCTCTGTAGGTTGACCCAATTAGACAAAATAATATAATTTACAAAATACCCTGCAATGACTGTGAGTGAGGTCAACTACATAGGTCAAACCAGTAGGTCAGGGGTCACAACATAAGAATTTAGTGGCTAAGGTAAGAATGGTTGACCCCGAGAAGATGAGTAATTTAGAGAAAAGCTCAGCAATTGCATTGCATGCATTAACACACAACCACACAATAGGGTGGGTGGGAGAGGGTTAAAATTCTAAAAAGTAATCTAGGTAGGTGGAGAGAGAGAGAGGTTGATTACTGAATCCTTGTTCATCGAATCTACACCCAACACATGCGATAGGAATGATTCATCACTCATACCCGAAATATGGAAAATATTACTACCAATCAAATCAAGTGAAAAACAACGGAACGATTTAAATGAATTTAGGAAGTCGTGTGATTACGTTGATATGATTATGAGCAAGAAGGGATTACGTAACTTCTGCGGTCATTTGAACAGCTAACACGTAATCCGCATACGCGAGATAGAGAAACTGGTGAACTTTGTACACTTATATATATTATTGATTAAACTTTTTCTTCTAAACAAAGTTATAAAGTTTTTATTACGTCATGTATTCACCTATAACCTTGTGTTCTATTTAGACAATGTTATTCTTTCATGTGAACGATGCTCACCTAACTCATTTATAATTTTTTTTGTTATTTTATGAAGAATATTTTCGGCGATTACGTCACCTATTCTCGATTGATAAAAACTCTTTGTCGGTTAAACTTTCTTTCTAACCAAAAAAAAAAGATTTCAAACTCTGTCCTTTCTTTTCATTACACTATGAATAATCTTGTGAATAGTTAATCCTTTCAACGCTTGATAATTTAGCAACTTACACCATTCCGGACTTGTCTTATAGTCATAGTTCCTATGAGTTACTTTTTATAGGCGTGAAAAAAGGTATTTTCAAATCTCCTACTTTTATGAAATTTATATATTTTTTCAATATTGTTCAGGTCGTAGACAGTTGAGAAGAATAATCAATGAAATAATAAAAAGACTGGGTTCATATTATCATCCTGCTCAACACATCTGTCGTGAAGTCAGTTTCTTTTATATGGGTCAGAAACTTGCACTGCGTGATAGTCCCGAAAAGCATTTCCAACAAATTACAGACTTTTATCAACAGGTGTCCCCTTCGCTGACTGACTGGCTGGCTGGCTCCATACTGAAGTTCAGATGGCCAGCCGGCCAGACAGCAAGAGAGTTAGCAACAAGGAACTCTGGCTGGCGATGAATCAATCAAGAGTCAATGACTGAATAAATATAAAGGAGAAAATGGAGATGGATAGAATGGGCATACGCCACTGAGGAGACTGCCGAATGACATCGCTCACAGTGCAGGCCATCGCTCGAGTGAAATCTAAGTGGGA